CTCCATGTAGGGCTCTAGTCTGCGTTGGGTGATCCTAAGCATTATTTTGCTAGCATGTGAAATTAAGGATATTGTATGATAGTTTGCACACTCTGCTAAGTCTCCTTTTCTTAGTATTGGAATGTAGATTGACCTCTTCCAATCAGTTGGCCACTGTGTTGTTCTCCAGATTTGCTGGGATAGCTTGGATAGAACCTTTACTGATTCTTCTTCTGTTGCTTGCTATATTTCAGTGGTTATTCCAACAGGTCCTGTAGCCTTCTGAATTGGTAATGAATGGAGTACTGATCTAACTTCATCTTCTACTGCTAGAGCTTCTTGTAAGTAGGGAATATCTTCTAAGGGATCTTGGATGTTGACATCTCTACTGTACAGCATTTCAATATACTCCTTCTATCTTCCTTTGACCTCCTTTGAGTCAGTTACTATCTGTCCAATGGCATCCTACAGGATACCAATTTGAGGTTGAAACTTCCTTCTAAGTTCAGAGATCTTTTGAAATACTTCTCTTGTTTTTCCACATCTGCTTTTGTGGTAATACTGCATCTTGTCTCTTCTAACAGCTGTCTGAAATTCTTTGTTAAGCTCCTTTCTGAGATTTTTGTCTTTCTTGGCTTTGGCTTCCCTTTTCTTCTTGGCAATTTCCAAGAAGATGGTTTGTTCTGACATCCAGTTTGCTTTCTTCTCTTTCTTCATTTTTGGCAGTCCCTTCTCACATTCATCCTTATGACTTCTTTAAGTTCATTCCATAATTCCTCTGGCTCTCTATCAATGAAATTCAGGACTTCAAAGTGATTCCTGATGTTCTCCTTGAAAATGGTGGGTATATATTCAAGATCATGTTGTGGAAATTGACTGGCTTTCTTCTTCTTTAGTTTAACTTGGAGCTTACACATGAGCAGTTTGTGATCTGTTCCACAGTCAGTACCTGGCCATGACTTTGATCCTGTAATTGAGCTCCTCCATTTGATTTTGATATACTCCATCTGGTGATGTCTATGTATAGAGGCATTGTTTTGGTTGTTTGAAGATAGTGCTAGCTGTGAAGAAATCATTGGAGTGGCAGAATTGGTAAGTCGGTCTCCTGCTACATTTTGGTTTCCTATGACATACAATTGAACTATATTTTCTTATTTCTTGTTCTGAACTTTGGCACTGCAGTCTCCAGTCACAAGCAGCACATCTTACTTGCATGTTCTGTCTATTTCAAATTTTACTTGATCATAAAACTCATCATCGTCCTCTTCTGCATCGGTGGTTGTGGCATAAACGTGAATGATTAGCATTTTTCTATCCATGTGGTTTTCTTGGTAAAAATACAGGAGTGGTTTACTACTGCCTTCTCCTACCCAGTATGAATTGATGCCTTTGCCATTGTCACTCAAGTGATCATCTGCCTCTGGCATCTGCCTATATTGCTGCTGCCTGGCATAAGTGCCTCCTTGCTTTAGCTGGGATGACCTTCACGCCTTGGGTCACCCTGCTAGGAGTATATACTCTTGGCATACACTCCCTACGTTCTTCGCTTATACCTTCCAGGAACACCCCCGGCCACAGCCGGACTTGGGGGTGGGGGTGGGGTTAAGACTACTGTTTTATAAGGAAAAATGATCATTTTGCTTTGCCCCCTAATAGAATATTAAGATGTATATTAACCAAACCAGATAGTAAAGGTAATTTAATCAAGGTATGAGAGCCAGTTTGGTGTAGTGGTTAAGGCATCAGGCTAGAAATTGGGAGACTGTGAGTTCTAGCCCCACCTGAGGCACCAAGCCAGCTGGGCGACTTTGGGCCAATCCCTCTTTCTCAGCCCTAGGAAGGAGGCAAGGGCAAACCACCTATGAAAAACCGTGCCAGGAAAACTGCAGGGACTTGTCCAGGCAGTCACCAGGAGTCAAGACTGACTCAAAGGCACAATTCCCCCCCCCATGTATAATGATGATAACCAATAATGTTGATGTTAATTATAATACAACCAATCAAATGAAAGAATAAATTTGCATGTATCAATAAAAAGGACTTGCAACCCGTTGTAACCTTTTCAGGCTTTGCCCATTTTCCTTCTACACCTTTTTCTTCAAAGTCCAACTTTTGCTTCCAGATTGGGAAACCATTGCCTGCATGATTTTAATTTTGTAGCTACAGTATAGATACATCACGGCATCTGAATACCTTTTCCAAGGCCTTCATGGCTACTTTGCCAAGTGCTAGCGTGCAGCATATTTCTTGAATGCTGGTTCCTTTACTGTTGATATCAATCCTAAAAGGCAGACTCCACCATTTCAATGTCTTCATTGTCAAATTACTGTGGTCAGTAATTTGGTCTTCGTCATGTTTCATTGTAGTCCCATTTTTTTTTTTTTACAGTTTCTGTCAGTCCATTAACATCTTACAGCATATTG